TCATTTCATGAAGATATTTAATTATATGTGTTTTAATTACAAGATTTACATTTGCACTTAATGAGAAAATCTTCAATCTCTGTTAAAGATGATTTAAAGTGTGGTTCAGTTTTTGGAAAGAGATTTATTATGAATCATTTACTTGAGAAGTTGGAATTATATTTTATATCAAGTAAAGATTTTATTTAAATTGTTCAAGATTCAGTTTTGTTACATGGACAAATGTCATGTCAAATTTTTCAACGATCCGTGAGACATTTGTCTCTGACTGTTATTTGCTGAGCAAGATAAAGTGAAGCATATCTTGTCTTATTATGATTTGTTTCATGCTCTGTTATATCAAGTATATAAGTGTGCTAGCTTGAATTTGAATTTGGAAAAGATCTTATTCTAACAAGATTGTATGTAGAATGCTTAATTTGTATCAATCAATGATCTCAATCTTTCTAATCAAGATTTGATTGATCATGTGTGTTTTTGGAGGATGTTATCTAAATAAAATACAACAATAATGATCAAGAGATTCATATTTATTCAAGGTGATCAATCAAGATTGAAAATCATCATTACTAAAGATTGATCTCATGTACTTTTTAGAAGTCCAACCGAACTCATGATGGGCTTTTGGAGCTGGAATTTTTTGGGCTATATAAGGAGTTCATTTCCTTTGTGATGACTCAGATCTTGAGAGAAATATAGATTCTACATGATAGTTATAGTTAAGTTTGTCTTTGAGTTTTTGGTTGCAATATGTTGTTCCTAGATACTAATTCTATAAGCTTAAGAACAAAATATTTGCGTGTTAAGATGGTTTTATCTTTTCAATCATATTGTAATCGTTCAAATACATGGAGAGTGTTTGAGTGAAAGTGGGAGGGGTCTCTTATTCAGGGGGGGCTTGAACGAAGCTTCACGGGTAGTATTAGAAAAATGATCTTGAACTGAAAAAGTTTATAGTAAATGTATTTGTCCTTCTAACTATTGAGAGTGGAATAGTTTTATAGGGAGTCCTGAATAGAAATTCATGGGGTAGTATTAGGAAGAGAGACATTGAACAAGGTTTGTTCATCTAAGACTATTTGTACTTTTACTATTAAGAGTGAATTTTCTTTCTTGGGTTATAAGCCCCTTAACGTAGATGACGTTGGATAGAAATGGATTAACAATCATTTGTGTTCTTCATTGTCTTATGAATTATTTTCTATTATCTATCAATATTTTATAAGAACCTTGTACACATTGTATTAGACATTATGTCCAATATTTATCCTGCGAAGAACAGAATCTCAATATTCAATCAACATGATTGATATGGATCTTGTTTTAGTATACCGGGTTACCTCTTGTCCTTCCAGAGCATCCGTTACTTGACTTCTGAAATGAGCAACATTTCTTGAGTTTGCATCATTATGAAATGAATCATTTGGAAATTCCAGACATTTTCATCCACTGCTCTTTTATTAAGATGCACATCTTTACTTATTACCACATTATTCTCATTAGGTGAGAATAATTTTTATGTATCTGTTGAGTGGAAGCTGAGTGATAGCCTAGAATATCATAGTCATACTTATATCATCCAACTTCTTTCTTAATTTTTCAAGTATATGCTTGAAGCAAAGTGAGCCAAAAATTCTGAAATAAGCAACATTTGGCTTCATACCTTTCAAGGTTTCATATGTTGTCTTACTCATTAGTTTCTTTATTGGACATATATTGATGATGTGCACTGTGGTTGAGGTTGTCTCTCCCCATAAATTATTTGGAAATTGTCTTTCCTTAAACTTACTTCTTTTCATGTTCAATATGATTATATTCTTCCTTTCAACAATGTCATTGTGTTGAGATGCGTAAGAAACTACTATGTCGATTTTCTACTTTCTCACTGAATTTTGCAAACTCAATTAAAGTGTATTCATCACCTCCATAAATTATCAATCTCTCAATGCCAAATTCAATATGTTATTCAACTAACTTAAACTTCTTGAACATGGTGAATACTTCACTTTTCTTCTTCATTAAGTAAAATCCATATGTGCCTTGCTTGTGAATTCATCTATGAAAGTTATAAAATATCAATTACTTCTCCTTGATTTTACTTCAGATGGTCCACATACATGAGTTTTCAATTTCCAACTTCTTCTTTGACTTCATAGGCAAGTCTTGCTCAAATGATTTCTTTGTCAGCTTGACTGCAAAACACTCTTCATATAACTTCTTTAGAATTTTGATCCGATGAAGTTCATACACCATTTTCTTTATGTGCATTAGGCTCAAACCTTTGAAGTTCAAATAACCATATCTATGATGCCAAATTCAGTATTGATTCTCAAATGTGATTGATGCGAGATACTAATGGTCAATCATGTTGATTTGTATTGAATTGGTGCTCTTGATGTCAATTTGTTAGGATTACTTGTCAAATAAGGCAATACGCACGAAGAAGAATAAATGAAAATAAAGAGAGTTATAATGAAATTAGAGTGAAGAGAGATTTTATTCGATTGATTTTGATTTGCTAGTGATTAGAGAGGTATATACAGTTAGAAATCCTAATAACCAACTAACTTCTGAAATAGTTAAGTTGTGACAATATGTTTGTGTTGCAAGTCACTCACTTGCAACACACCTAAGTTGCTATTAAATCTGAGCTACAAGACAGTAGTACTATGTTGTTCATAAAAATGATCAAAAGGGTTTATTGGTAAGTTAACTTCCGAATACTATTACCTGCGAAAAAACCATAAGTATATTAACATAAAATATTAAATATTAGCAAAAACCTCAAATATTTGTAAAGTTTGTACAAAAAAATTTTGTGTTCGAAAATAACTTTCACATGTGGCAACCTAAACACTCTAGCGTATATAGCCTCGTAGTTAGTCAAAAGAGTCGTGATATATGAACATCTAAAATGAACACCTTGTATAAACACAATATCTTACAATCATTTATGTATGTTCCAACTTTTTTTCTCGTATAAAAAAAGAGAGAGAAATTAATATTAAAAAAATTGAAACCGTATATGCATACCGTGCTGGTGTCAATTTTGGTGTTCACATGTCTTTGTAGTCAAAAAGACCACAACATGTGAAGTCATTGGGTGTCAAAAACCTTACTTACGTTAGTTTCTTACCAAAGAAAGACGTGGTTTTCAACCTTTGGGAAACCTTACTTACGTTGAGTTGTTGAGAAATTTGACAGCAATGGAGGAAGCTTTTCTTCTCATTGAAATTTTGGCAAACAGAAAGTCTGATATTTTTGCCCGCGACTCAGCTAAGTGGTGGCCAAATGCAGACAGGCAGTTTTCGGTGAAAAGCTGCTACTTAAGCCTTTGGGATAGAGAACTCGAAGATGTGGTAGAGCCAACGGTGCTGGCAGCTATCAACATATTTTGGAAGTCGGATATTCCATCGAAACTAAAGGTGTTTGGTTGGAGAGTGATGCTCAACAGGCTTCCAACTAAAGACCAATTGGTGAAGAGGGGTATTATTCTCAATGATACTGATAAACTGTGTGTTCAATGCTTGAGTGTGGAAGAAGACTTAGACCACTTGTTATTTAGTTGCACTGTATCTAACAAGGTTTGGCAGAATATTTTCGTTTGGCTAGAACTACATAATATGGAGGAATTGGCAGGTTTACATCATTTTAACCAATTCATTCATGCTCTCTTGGGAAAAATCAAGAGGAGTTGTTTGTTTTGGCTGGCCACGATATGGGCAATTTGGAACAAGAAGACCACAATTTTATTTAATGAAGAGTTGTACGTTCTTGAAGATATCATTTCGAGCATCAAAGTGGTATCGTGGATTTGACAAGCAATAGGCAATGGAGAAAGGAGTATTTGTTCTTTATATTATTGGTTTCATGCTCCTCTAGATTTTATCAATTCTGTGTAAACTTCATGTTTTACCAGTTTTGGTGTAATGGAGTGAGACTACCCTTGTACTCTTATTAATAATCAAATAACTTTGCTTATCAAAAAAAAAAAGAAAACTTTCAGATATGCATATATAATAACCACAATTTGTGTTGAATACAAATCTAAATATTATTGTCAAGGATATTCAACATCATCATGGTTATCTACATTATGCAAATGATTAATGAGTTATGGATTCATATTTATTAGACGTGTAATTAATCTGTATTAAACATCTAATTGTTGTTAAATTTTGTAGTCTCGCATTTTGTTTAAAATATCAGAATTCTTATTAACTAACACTAACCAACAACACTTGTCACAAAAGTCCATAACCATAACATTTAAATTTTCTTATGAATAAACGTAAACTTCGGTAAAAATATCAAATGAAGTTGAAAACAAAAGAATGCTTTGACAATGATTAACCAACGACGTTTAAGAAAGTTAATCCATCTCTGAAACCAAAAATTTTAAAACAGAATTATTATAGAACTGGCAAACCCAATAAAATCCAATAATAACTGTTTAAATTGATTTGTAGTTAAATAGATGTATATTATATTATATTATACTCCCTCCATCTCATATTATAAGCAAAAATTATTTTTTAAGTTTATTGAATATTTAATGTATCTAATTTATATATAGACCAAACTCATTAGATATCCAATGAACCTAAAAAATAATTTTTGCTTATAATATGAGACGGAGGGAGTATATAATTATAACAAGGACATCAATCAGAATCTATCCAGGCAGTGGACAACATAAGAGAAGCATTTTATCATTAGAGCACGATGGCCTTTAAACACTAGTAGTAATAGTGGAAGAGAAACAGTAATATAGCGGTGCACAGTTGATTGATATAATCAAATATCATAGCTTGTTACACTGAAGAATCCACAATTCAACATAACGATAAAGGTTTAATAGTTACTACGATCATGTATCCTTAAAACAAGCTCTCGGAAGAAAAAAACCTAGCTTGCTCAGAATCATCTTTAAAATACAGGAATTATGCACCTTGTGCAACAACTAAGAGTTAAAAATAGAGTTAACCAAGTCACATTATTCATTCTGGATCAGGTGAACCACCTGGGACCAACTGCATTGCACACCACATATTGTTAGTATCATTATTACACTTAGAACAACTAAAAACATACGTAAAATTACTGCCAACATTTTCTTAAGTTGCCAAGTCAAATGATCTATTAATAATCCATACAAAATAGGTAAATGGAAAACAATTGAGTATTTGACACTTACAATGGCAATGTTGTTTCCGTTGAGTAAAATCTGATCAAGCTTAGTTATCCTTCTCCCCTCAGCAGTGATCTCACTGTTGAATGCATATAAAAACAATAAGCCAAATCAATTTATTGAGTACCCAATGCATCACAATGTCCATGCACACATGAACAACCAAATCAAGGAGAATAGAGAACTAACATAAATCATACAGACACAAAAGCCATGATAGAAGTAAGAAAGTCTTCTGTCAGTACAGCCTGAAGTAATCACAAATGTCATAAAGATCATTACTAACAAACACTTCATATTAAGACTCCTCAAACCCCAAAAGAAATAGCCCACTGAGAAAGATGTTCACTAGAACATAGATGCAATGATGGAGGAAACCAACATTCGTTGGCACACACATGTACATGTGTAGAGGAGATTGGGGTTTTGGACAATTAAATATGAATAGTCTATCTATGAAGTTAGCATGGGATTGAGGCATTATGACATCATTTGATCCATATATCAAACAACACCCAATGGGGAAAAAAAACATAATTGTTGGTATACTATTACTATGTTTGATGATAAACTAAACCTGAACACTTAACCTAGACATAATAACACATGTTCCTAACAAAACTAAAAGATGATAATGGAGGTTGTTAGAAGACTCTATAGGGCTTTACTTAGAGAGGCCTCTTGGTTATACTGCTCCCAAAAAGATAGAGATTGGAAGACCCTTTAGTGTGCATAGGGAGTTCCTATAGACCTCATGGGGTGGATGTTTACATAATCTAAGACATACATGTAGTTACTTCAGGGCATGTCCTTTTAAAGTTAAACCAACTGACAGTTATAGTTGGGAGATAGGATACCCGGAAGTCAGGATGTTAGCTAATTTTCCGGTCGTGACAGCAATTTTTCCTGTTCGCATTGAGGATAAGTCATTTGGGTTTTGTGGAGTAATCACCATAGGCACTTTCCTACTTGCAGTGTCACAAATGAAAGGCTTTCACATTTGGTCACTGGGAAATGAAACTAAACATGTGGAAGATTCCTTTTGTATTAACTCTCATGAACCAGAACTCTAAGTAAAATTCACCATAAAGTTTAAATTTTTTGCTTCCTTGGTTATATAGCACACAGGCATTCAACTTAAGATAGGAGTTCGTACAAATTAGTAGTCAAAGTGCCCTTTACTTTCTTAAATCTTAACTAAACCTACCTAAACAACTTGAATTTCAAACAAACATTTTCCTGAGCCATAAAACCAAAATCACCCATTTATCAATTACCTACTATATAGTTCAAAATCCACTATTACTACACAACTCCAAAATAAAACAAATCAAATTCAATTTGAGATTTCCCATCTTTCTTCACAAAGGAAACCTGCCTACATAAAGGTTTGAGAAAAGAGCTTTAATGAATTTCTCCAACATCATGCAAATTCAAACTTTACGTAAACACTCATAAAAGTGGGATACAAAACTGTAAAATAGTAAAACTAGCGTAATATAACAATTTGCAGTTAGAAGTGTATTTTAAAAATGTGAGGGCATTAAGTCCAAGCATGAAAGAATTGCATCTTAAGAAACATATAAAGCTGGTCTTATTCTACTTTCTACTCAACAAACATATGTTTTACAGGAAACAGTCAAATATGAATATGAACAGTATAAATAGGAAGGAAAAAAAGTTCCATAAAAAAGTTCTGTGGATAAAAGCAAAATGGTATGGTTGGGATCTTACTATTCGGTAACATCTTCAAGGACCATGTTGACATACACATCAAAGCCTCTAAGAGTACCAACAAGCTCCTTGTCACCTTTCATTATCACCCATATTTTCGAACCTATACAGCGGTCAATCAACTCTGCAAATTTTCAGAAGAAAATGATAAGTCAGCTTAAACAAAGTTGAAAGCTATGCTGGATAACCCAATAAATGGTTCGAGAGAGGCAGTGAAGTTAAAAACCTGATGGAAGAAGCTGTGAAGGATTATTAGCCATGAAGATGAATTGGTAATTTCACTAAAAACCTGTGAAGGGTACAAAAGATCAGAACTTTAATGTGGCTGCTGCAGAAAGATTGATTGATTTCAAACGCATGGTATAATATTCAAATGAATCAAATTAAATACTGCAACGAAACCCTAGTTAACTACAAATAACAATTGCGCGCTACAGAAGAGGGAAAGAACGATTCTTATAATAATTGTATAAAAATAAGAAAAACGTGGAAAGGTTTCTCACTTTTCTGGCTTCCGACAACGAACTCCGGTTGCTTTTCCGGCGAGGAGGGTGAAGTGGGAGCGACTATAGCTTGATGGAGCTGCTGAGTTGTTGTTGTTTTAGGGTTTTAATTTTCCCTTTTTTATGTTTTTATTTTTGTGCAGGGTTTTAATGGTTAAGAAACTAGTAAGAAAAAATGTTTGAATTTTTGATAAAAATCTTTTTTTTTTTAAATAAGGTACCAAAAACTAATTAAAAATGAGACTAATTGAAATATATTTTCAGTGGAAAAATATTTTATACATTATCCCATTAAAATAAATTATTTTAATATATAAGTATGAAAGTGAAAATTAATAAAAAATTAATTATAATTAAAAAAAAAATTGGAAGCAAAAATATATTAAAATGATTAAAAAAAATACTACATACAAGGAATCAAAAGATCCATTCAAACAAGAAGACCACGTGAATAAAATCAGAGCACCAACCTAAGGTAACATGAAGAGAGCCATGTGTTGTCTAAACTTGGGCTTGGATCAAGTTTTATGGATTATGATTTCTATAATGTTGTTTCCTATGTTTGTGTGGCTATAAGACTGACCAAAACTCCTAGAGTTCCTATACCTCCAGCATTCATAGATTGTCGCAGTGATGACACATTTTAGAATTTGTGATTTCCAACATTTTCCTTTACACCCTTTTATAATCCATTCGCGTTATTCTTGCCAACCTCATGGCTCATGCGTAATGTGCATCCACTTGAGAACTTGACACTAAATATCTCTCAATTATTGACATATGAAGAACAAATATTGGATGTTTTCTTGTTGACCACATAAACAACACATATTATTGTCAAAGATGTCAAATATATTTAATCTCTCCTTGGTAGCCAACATGTTCTGACAAGCCACTCAAAGGGTGAAGATGACTCTAGGTCGAGCTACATTATTATACATCAACACTTTCCATTGGACCAACTGGTTGAGATCTTTGAGATGGAGATACATTTCTCTGGTTCTGTAGATATCCCCTTGCCGCATACTCATCCAAGTTTGGTTATTATTGACTAGCTCTCTGAGCTTCAACACAGTTTTCATAATCCATGAACAGTTAGATTTAATAGGAAAATTCATAAGTTGTAAGCTTTTAAGTAATAACAATGGATCCATTTTATCCAAATGCTATCACCTTTTCCACCAAGGTTCCAGAGAAGCTTCAATAATGTAGTTTGGTTTCACTTATGAATAGCTATTATTTTCAAACCTCCATATTTCTTAGGAGAGAAAACTTTGTCCCAAGCAACAGGCAATTTTCTGGAAATTTTCTCAGAGTCACTCCACATAAATGATAACTGCCCCAACACTCTTGATCACTTTTTTGGGCAGTGGAATATACTGCATCCAATAGTTTGTCATAGCAAAAATGACACTTTTGATTAATTGAATCCTGCCTGCAAAGCTAAGTAGTCTTGCACTCCAGTGTTTAATCCTGTCAACTATTTTTTCAACCAAAATTATACAGCGATTCACATAAATTTTCTAGCTCGACAAAGGAATACCAAGATACTTGAATGGGAGAGGGCTTTTCTTGAAATCACTCATCCTTTAGATTTCAAATTTGGATTGGTTATCAACATTCCAAAATAAATTTTGCATTTATTTGGATTCTAAAATTTTGGCACTTGCAAAACATGCTAATACTGATGTCCTAACATCAACATAATGTCAAGGCAATGTTATGACATCTGCTGACAGACAGAACAAATATATAAAAAATGTAACTTATGCAGAAAATAAATTGCAGAATAATAAATAACACAGCTGATTATAAACCAGTTCGGTGCAATGTCACCTACTCTGAGAGCTACCAAGCCAGGAAGGAAATTCACTATGATAGTATTAATTCAAAGCCTACACAATCTGAGTTTACAACTTCTCACTTAATCACTAACTTGTGAAACTTCTACCTAGAAACCTTCTAGATATCAGATTCCCCCTCACTTTCTACCAATCACCTCAGTATTAAAGTTCTGTCACAATACCAGTGACTAGAATAAAAAAACCTGAAGATTACACTTCCAATAAAAAAATACTCAACTCTTTGATTAAAAGCTCATGAGTGAGAAAAATACTTAGTTTTGCTTAAAAGCTTCAACCAAGAATAATAACTTAACAAACAATCGAGTAACAATTAGTCTACCATACTGTATCAAAAGTAGGGGTATTCACGGTGCAGTTTGGGCGGTTTTGAAACAAAAAATCACCTGAACCGCAAGAGAAAAAAACATGCGGTTAGGTTTGGTTCGGTTGACTTTTAAAAATAAATCCAAACCAAACCAAACCAAACTAATGCGGTTTGGATTGGTTCGGTTGGTTCGATTTTTTACAACAAAATTATTAAGCCATACATACACATATAGAAGAAAATATAATTTTGTGTTTAATTGTTCATACATTACCATAAAAAAATTTATAATTGTCAAAATAAGTTTGTAATTTGATACAGAAAATTGTGTATTATAATTTTATCTAAATCTAAAGAATGATATATACAAGATTGCATTCTTAAATAAATATTATACAAAGAATACCATAAAATATATTTTGTGAAAATAGTATTTATAAATGAATAATATTTTATTTTTTTATGATTTGTAAATTAAAATAAATATCATACAAAATATGATAAAATATACACATAATACATGTTGATTTCTCTAAAGAATTAAAGAAATATATATTGGGTAGTAATATTTTATAACATAATGCGGTTTTGTTTAGTTTGGTTCGGTTTGCAAAATACAAATTGTAAACCAAACCGAACCGCGCGGTTCCGTTAGAAAATGACTCAAATACATCCGAACCAAATGCGTTTTTTTGCGATTTTGGTTTGGTTCGGTTCGGTTTTGCGAATTTCTATTGGACCGTTTGGTTTTGAACACCCCTAACCAAAAGATATGTGGGTGACTTACAAAAATACAAGAGACTCTCAAAATCTAAGACTTTAGACTTCCTCTAATTTTACAATTGTAAAAGTTAAATTACATTAGGTCTAGGTTTCTCTTTAAATACTCTTCAGTAGTCCATGGGCTTCGAAATCTTCACTCAAATATTTCTTGATCCACAAGCTGAGGGCTACATCAATTATGCAGAAAAATCCCCTTAAATATTGGAACAAAACATCAGGTTTCTTAAATTGTCTCAACATCCAATTTTAGAAACTTATGTACAGTTGGAGATTATATCACTTGTTCCAGATAAAATCTTCTTGACCTGCAAAATTTATTGAGATATATCCAAAAGAAATATCACAAAATCAAATCAAATCAGCCAAGATTTAAAATAACCTGTATTGATGTTCTGGTTCAGCATGTCACAACATCTGTCAGAACATCTGTCTTCAATGAAAACTCACACGCTGTTGTATCAGTTTGATCAAGATGTTATGACATTTTGCTCAACATCTGTCATGAATCATGTTTTAGCAAAAAAATTATCAATCCTAAAACCATGAATCTAACAATCTCCCACTTTGACAAATTCTTGCTAAAACAACCTTAGCACAATTAAAATGGAGAGAGGAATAAAACCACATTAATAAAACACAAGCTACATGCAAACATGTAAACTTTGTACAATCTGCAAAAATAAACTATATCAAAGATAACATGTATCAGAGATAACATGTTATTTCATATCTATCAAAAAATACTCCCCCTGTCACAAGGAACCAATTCTTGTCACAGAAAACTAATTCTCCCCCTCAAAGGGAAAATCTAAATCACCAGATGAAGAAGAGACTTTTCCCATAGGAAGAAGAAACTTTTCCCAACGCACAAGAAAACCAACCTTGAACTCAACCTTAAACTATCCCATGCATAACCGATTTCTATTTTTGCATGAAATTCATATTTTCGTTTTTATTATGCTTTGGTCGAAACTAACATTGCTAATGTGTTCCCCGGGTATATTAGTACAGGTCTAAGTCATCGCATGAGTCCCAGGATGCCAGGATGAGGGCTTGACATGTTTGAACCGATTTATGTTGTTTTATTCGTATTTATTTATACAAAGAGAATTAGCAAAAACCAAGGCCACCATAGAACTCGCAAGGGGCAAATTAGGGGGGGTAGAGTCCCTTTGGATCGTTGACGTGTTTTATTTTGCAGGTACAAGAAACAAGCTCGCCGGAGAAGATGACCAGAGCTAGGGTTCTGGCGTCTCTCCGGCCCAGTCATTTGGTTTCATTTTATATTTAATTGATTTCATTGTAATACTGGATGAAACAACCACCCCAGTGGTAAGAGCGCGCACAATAAAGCATTGATCCTTAAGGGCGTGGATTCGATCCCTGCCTTTTGCTATTTTTTTCTTCATATTTTTTCAATTTGTGCAGGTTTAATACATTTTGTGTAGCGCCTATTCCTCAAACAAAAACCAACGCTTGGCCTGGTGGCAAGCTATACAAGGTAGAGGCTTTGGGGCGTGGGTTCAACACCCACCCCTGACATTCTTCTTATTTTTGGTTTCTAACCTTGTTTTTCCTTGATTTTTCTTCTCCTAATCTTTTTTTGGCTAACCTAATTTATTTTTATTAACCAAAAACTAATTCTCCTTTTCTTTAACCCTAAAAATTAGGTTTAGTTTTTTTTAATTAACCTTTTAATAAATTAATTAATAAACTTTTTTATTTATTTTAAAATTAATTATATTTTTAGGTTTTATTTAATTAATTGTCAACTTAAATTATTTTTTTCATAAAAATCACCAAAA